TGCTATTACAGGTCTGAAGTAAGTGAACATTCATCAATTTTTTTAAAATACTTTTCAGATAAATTTAGTAATTCTCTCTCTCTAATTAATTTTTTTATGCTCATTTCTCTATTTAATTAATAAAATTTATTATTTTTTTACTTGTAAGATGTGAGATTCAAATTTATTATTTTTGTTATTATCAATGTTTTTAAAAGAATTATTAATTTAAATATAAAATTTTAGTTATATAATTATTCTGATATGAAATTTGTAGCATATTTATCCATATATGAGTTTTAAAATATTGTCATTGACAATTTAATGCAGTTATGGAAACTATTTTGTGCAGGGTGAATAGTGCCTCCAAGCCTTTCAGAAAATTGTTATCGGTGATGTTTGGGTTTACAAGGGAATCCAGGTACATCTGAAAACTTGTTACCGATACAATTATTTAGGAGCAAGTGTATTTATAAAAAAGAAATAAAACGTTTTTAAATAAAATTTTTAAAAATATTATCTCAGAAAAATTATTTTTAAGTATTTAAATATTTTAATTTAATTATTTGAATATAAGAGATACAAGATTAAAATAAATAAAAATTTAAATATAAAAAAATTAAAAAATATAACCTATCCTAACAAATTAGTTGAGATGAATTTTAACATTCATGGTTTTATTTTTATATTTTTTTATGTTTATTTTTAAATTAATTCTAATTCTGATTTTTTTATAATTGTTAACTATTTTTACTAAATCTTTTAATAATTAATAATATCATAATAAATTAGTTGAGATAAATTCTAATGTTCATAGTTTTACTTTTACATTTTTGTATGTTTACTTTTAAATTAATTTTAATTTTATAATTATCAACCAATTATACTAAATTTATTAACATTCAATAGTCATGTAAAGCTAATAATCTTTTTATTAAGTTATTACTTCAATAGTTATGCAAGTATATATATATATATATATATAAAGAGCTTATGAGCTGTTAATTTAATAATAATTAAAAGAAAAAAAGTTAAGTTCTGTTTATCTAATTCTTTGTCTCATTTTATCTTATAGATTCATTAATTATATGTGATACGATTGCTTATAATATAATTAATTATAGTATGTTTAAGAATTGTCAATTTTGAACATACAAAGATAGTGCAATAGGATAAACACCAATTAAGAAATGAAAGTAAAATTATTATCAAGTATAAAGGTCACATAGAGTGATACAAATGGTTTGTTATAATCCTAGCTATGAATTTAGCTAGACACAATAAAATAAACAATGAAAACAATTATAAAGAAAATGATAATCATTCAAAAATTATATACAAACTTAAGAAATTCCAACAAAGAATAGATGAAGACAGTTATTGACCTCAAGACGTGTTCCTAAAGCTCTACTAGTTGTCAATAGTTGGTTAAAACTAATATTCAAGATGAAGATGTTTAAATCATTACCCACAAAGTTCTTTAAATAAAGTTTCAAAACTCTAATATTTCTTCAATGTTGGATCTCTAAAAGGTAAGCATGCATAGTTGTGCTCATCAATACATATGATCATGCATGTAGCTTAAAACATTCTTGTGCTGGTTGCTAAAAAATAAATATGCTTGTTGCGATAAAGTATATATATATATATATATATATATAAGTTGTAAAAGTATATCAAAATATAAATTTATTAACAATAGAGTCACATGAAACATTAGTGAGAAAAAGAATTGGTTTAGGTATTGAAAAAATAGTCTTGGGGCTATAAATTAAGCCTCAAACAAGTAGTTGAGGGAAGGAAAAAAACAAGAATAAGAAATGTTGTTAAGAAGGAGATTAAAAAAAGAGTAAAAAAAAAGTAAAAGAGTTAGTTTAATTTTATAAAAATATTATATTTCAAAATTTTGATCAATATGATCCATGATGTAATTTAATTTTGAAATACATTTCAAAACTAGTACATAGTCAAAATGTATAGTTATTATTAATTTATTATAATTTTAAAATTTTTATTTAATGCAAGTTAGTGCAACATTGCATATTGTATTTTAATTTTATTGATAATAAAATAAATATGTTTATTGATAAAATAATTAAATTAAATATAAATTTAATAGAGAGAAATTATTATTAAGTAATATGTTTATTAATAAAATACATCATTTGATATAATTTATTAAATTAAGTATTATAGTTATTTTTAAATTAATTAAAAATGTGGAATAAATTTGTTGACATTTTTAACATTACGAGAAACTAAAAAAAAGGTTTACTAAAATTTTGAAATATTTTTTTTCAAAAGTTAATATTAAGAAATGTATAATATAATTAATACATAATTAATATAACCTTTATTTCAAAAATTGTTGATAATTAAATGTTTGTGGTTAGTTATTTAATAATATGAAAATTAAATTGTGAATTAATCTTAATTTATAAATATTAAATTCACATTTCGTTCTTGAATAACCTTCAAAATGCAAACTCATTCATATAAGAATATTTAAAGTAAAAAAATAATGTCAAATATTCATACTAATGACAAATTTATGCAAGTAATGTGGCTTAAAATTTTGTAAGAAATTTATAGCAATGTATATAATACAATACATGTGAAATGCCAAGATTTTTACTGTGTTATTGTTGCATAAATTGACTCGTGCTATCAAAAATAATACTAATGTCATCTTGCATTATGGCTCCAATTACAGGGAAACAAAAAGTAATGAGTTCTTCTTTATTTTTTATTTAAATGATTACCCATATAATTGTTCGTTAAAAAGAGATTAGTGTTTGATGTAGGAAAAGCTTTTCTCATGAATGGATTTTTTTTATTTTTGTTATGAGTCCTAACTATATAGCTATTCCTCATTATTATGTTATGGGGTAGCAATAAATGTGTAAAAGAAAGAGTATATTGATGAAGTGATTACATATCAAAGAAAAAATGTCAACTATCTATTGTCTCTCCTTTAATAATAGTAAAAACAATTGACAATGATTGTTATTTTGTGCAATTGTCACTAACAGAACTCTCTTGTATTTTATATATAAATGTATCTCATCAAATTGTACAAGTAGTTTACAGTTTTTAAAAGCTCTAATGCAACAACCAAAATTTAAAAAAATTCGACATAATATTTGAACTTCAAGAATCAATTCATTATTATGATAAACCTCAACAACATCTGACTAAATAACTGATTTTCAAACAATGTCACACATTATTACACACTATTGTAGCATAACTTCATATAAGACTTTATTGACCAAATGTTTTTTCAATTATCTTTTGTTTTGTAATCAATGCTTCTAATATGTTGTTGTGTATCTATATTAAGTGTGCACTTTACTAATAACAAGTTTTATCTTAAAAGAAAGATCAAATTCTATATTTGGCTTAATAAATTCTACAATTATGTTTATGTCCAACTTTCTATATATGATCCTACAAAATCCTTGCTTAATTACAATTGTGTAATCTATTATACTTTCTAATTTTTTACAAAAATACTTGTTCTTCCTAAAAGTAATACAAACAAGTCATCCACAATATATGTCATATCTAACACATTTACAATAAAACTTATTTGGTTCATATTCAAACACTTTATAATCCACTCTTTTTGATATATTGTAACACTTAATTATTTGTATAACAATTTCTCTATCATTGAATTGTATTTCAATATACAATTCTTTATTTACCTCACACCAACCTATCAAACACATTAAAAAAAATCTATTAAAATAACTAAATATACATTTATAAGTATAAATATAGTATAACAAGTCATATACTTAAGTTAGCATACTTTAAAAATTTATACTCTTACGTGTCATTAAAATTTTGAAGCCCCAGACAAATGTTGGCCATTTAGACAGGATTAGTTAATTAATATACCTTCCATTTTTCAACTTGGTTTTTCCCACCTTTAATCATGAATAATTATTAAACGTACTGTATAATAACTTGGGGTAAAAAAAAATTCCAATCAAACAGTATTATTGCTGAAATGAATATACCAGTTTACATAAATCCAGTTTAATTACACATTAGATTATTAATCATGGCTGCTATAAAATGTTTTAAGAAGAGGAATTTTAGGATACTTTAATTTAGGGGATTATATGTATTTGAGAGTACCTACTACTTGTACCCTTTTATTCAATAAATTTGTTTCTCAGATAAAAAGAAAGGGAGATTCTAGGTTATAACACAATGAAGGAACAACGTATTCAATTGTTGAGTGTGTTTTGGTATGATTGTAACGGAGAAAAGTTGATCTAATTCGAAAACTAAGAAGATAAGATGATTACGTGCATCACTAATAAATTATTTGAACACACGTATGGAGATTGTCTATTATTACTCTAAAATATTTAATACTATTATTTATTCAAATTTTTTTACTTAAATATTATTATTAATTTAATTAACTAATAAAAAAGAGTATCTTATTTAAAAGATTATTTAAAAAGAAGTGAGAATGAAATCATCCATGCATATACATTTATGTATGTATAAGCCTGTGAGCCATCGAAGATGTTTATATGATTGTCTACAAAAACAATGAAACGAAATTTGAGCAGACATTAATGATTTGTATTCGGTTTATATAAGTAAAATGCAATGCAAAAAGCTTTAACAACGTAAAATTTCATAATTTACTCCTGTACTTAATTTCTAATTTTACTGAATGTGCTCCATTGTGTATGTATGTACCGAACGAAAGAAAGCGAAAGAAATATAAACAAATTGAAACGAGAATATATTGATCAATTCGATCCCATATATATCACATTAGAATCACGCACACTCAGAATTAATAAAGCAACACCACCAACAAAAAAATAATAATAAAATTGACATTCAAAACATGAATTGTTGAATGGTTGCCTATAAAATATGTTATATTCTAGAACGACAATTCATAGAACAAAGGGCAGCCACAATATAGTTATTGAAACATATAAGAATATGATATTCATCTTCCTCTTGAGGTTGGGAAGGTTGATTTAGCTAGTGTCTCTAGCACAATGTGTAATGACGCTGCAACCACGACGGTAAGGGTTGGCACGACCCCTTTGTTGGCAGCTGTAATAGGATCGTCCACGCCTACCACATGGGACTTGGTTGGCTCTAAGGGCTGCATAACTAATGTACCTTTGTCGCCGTGCAGCCAAAGTGCGACGGTTGGACTCAGAATCTAGCATCATCTCATTATCTTCTCCAATTAAATCACCAACAACACCGTCAAGGCTAAAATCATCAGCCTTGGAAGCTTCAGCCACCATGGCTAACGCCAGGGCCAAAAGGAAGAGAACAAGCCAGGGCTTGAAGTTCATTTTTCTATGAGAGGATTCGTAGGGGCTTTGGTTGGAATTAGAGAGAAAGGGAAAAGCCTCTTAGGTTGCCTTTATCCCTGCCCTTCTTGGAAGAGGAGGGAAAGAGGAGGATATAGGCGACCAAGGTTGAGAAGGCAGTTACATTGTAGGATAAAAAAAGATAGAGTTTGGAGGGTACGAGGTTTCATGGTTGTGTCCTTTGTGATTCAACGTGATTTTGGGCAATGCCCGTTTCTTTCTCCTCCTTTTTCTCTTCTTGTTTTGGTAACTTGACATTAATCGTATGTTAAATTGAAGCCAATGTGTTTCTCTAACTAATAATAACTGTATTTGCAATGTGAGATAAATATTGCCCTTAGAGTACTCCAAGGCTCCTGTATCCTCATATGCCTGTCAATAAACCATTTAAAGCATGTTTGTTGTGTTAAATGAGTTTATTTTTCACTTGTTAATTAATTAATTAATCATTTTTTTAACTGAAGAATACGTTTAAAAAACATTATTAAAAATTATAGCATTTAATATTGATAATACAATAATTTTTTGATATTTTATTATATTTAATAAAAATTTATCATATGCACCATTTGACACATGTTAAAAAAGTTGCTAATTAGTTTATCAGTTTGTTTAATTAGATGAAGGTGTTAGGAAAGTAAAATTATTTTATTGGCTTATGTCTTATAAACTATAAGTTGTTAGTATATACTTTTAAAGATTATATTTTTTTTGTATTTTAATAATGTTTTACCTTTTACTTTCCTTTTTTCTTTATTTTTCTATTTTGCATACTCTTTTCTTTCACCTCTTACACACTCTCCCTTTTGCTTCGTATGTCATCTCTCTATTTTTCTTCTTTTGTTATGTTATCAACTTAAGGAACATGCAGATTATTACACAAAAAAGAAAATGGTAATTTATCAACAAAAACTAAGAAGATATCAAAACATTAATTATTGCAATTCAAAAGTAAAATTATGATTCAAATAAAGGTAAATTATTTTAATAATTAATTTTTACTATTTTTGAGACTTTTAATATAATACTATTTATTTTAATTATTAAACTATCTTTTTAATAAAATATTTTATCTTCAAAAAATTAATAATAATTTATTAATAAAATATAAAAACTGTAATTACTTAAATATATATTTTTAGTTAACAAAATAAAAATAAATTTCTCTAAAAAACATAGAAACATGTCATGTTATTTTATATTTATCAGTTACTTTAATAACTACTTTTTAAAAATACTCACAATATTATATTTTTTAATTAACAGATTATAAATTTTAAGCTAGTTTATCAAGTTTATGTTTTTAAATTTAGTTAAGAAATGCTAGCAATTCACTTTTAATCATTGATTAATTTTTTTTAAATTATAAAAATCATATGAGTCTCATTTTTTTATTTTTAATTTATTGTTTGTTATATTTTATAATTTTTAATAAATTTAAATTAATAAATATATTAAAAACGTATTAAAAAGTATAAGCTTTAAAGTAATTTTAGAATAATAAAGATCTCGCTTAGTTAAAGTATGTTTGGTTTCATTTTTAGAAATAGTTTTTAATTTTTTTTAAAAAAATTACAAATTTATACTATATTTTATTTTTAAAAATTAAAAAAAATTAAAAATAAAATCAATCATATTTTTAATTTTTACTTTTTATGTTTTGCATTTTTCCTTAACTTTTAGGTTTTGCTAAAAGCTAGTTGTTTTTGTCAAATTGCACAGTTTTGGTGCAGCATCAATTGGGCTTTTTTCTGTATGGGTAATGTGAACACAAGGCCCTAAGTAGTTTATAGTACTGTGGGTCTTTTCCGAAACCCTATCAGTAACAAAGGCTGTTTCATTTCTATTCCACAAGAGTTCTCCATGTTTCCTTTTGATTCAAAAAAAGAGTTTTATTAATTATTTTAGTGGAAACTAATCAAGGAATCAGAAATGTGCTTCTTCTGTATCTAGTATAGATTCTCACATGACACGCGTACCTGTTCATGTCTTCTTGATGCTTTTGTCTATCCAGTGCTGCTTTGTTCTTCTTTCTGAATTTCTACTGCACTTTTTTACCTTTTTGGACTATGGCTTTCTCTCGTTGGGTGCCTCCCATCCTAGTTCTAATGATAACAAAAAAGAAGAAGACATGAAATTTGCATAACTTGATATATTAGAAATTCAAAATATGTGTTTCTAATAATTAAAACTATTTACTATTACTTACTAAATGTTGAAAAATGTAGGCATTTCATATTTAAGTTCATTACTTTAAGTTTGGAGATATGTGTGACCTAATAGTTATTTAAATAAAATTATAAAATAGATTAATTTCACTTCTTTCTTTTTTTTTTAACCCAGTTTAAGTAACTTAATCGTTACATTTTATTATTTTCTATATCATTCCTTACTAACCATAGAAAATTACCCTTCATATCAGTAAAAATATAAAATTACCTTAATAACTGATGTCTTACAACGAAATTTATTGATAAGGTTGTGATTTTCCCTTTCTTTCTCTTTCATTTAATGAGTTAATAATTAAAATATTACTACAACGTCAATCCATTTGAACATGTTCAAAAGATCTATTTTCTTAAAATTTAAACTTACATTATTTTCACTCAAACAGTGATAGAAACACATCTTTTAGTATACTCTATTTAATACTCTTAATTATTAATTAAAATTTTTAAAAAATTATAAAATTATGTGAAAGATTTATTGAATTAGGAATAAAAAAAATAGTACAACCTACATAATTTTTTTAAATTTTTAATAAATTTAACTAACAATTAAGAATGTATTAAAAATAATATGTTTTTAGCATTTCTTCACTCACTGGGCTCAAGCAACTTTTTGTGACTCCTACAATACCAACTCTCTTAATTTGACAATGTTCTCTTATTTTATTTAAAAATACGAAAAATAATCATACATATGAATTGCCATATTAATTGTATAGTTTTGATAATAATCTTCATTACTTAAAAAAGACTTCTCATTAATATATTTTATTTAATGTTTTTATTACTCAAAAAAGAAAACAAACATTTTTAAGGTTCTAATATAGTCAATATTTTACTTTTCATTTAGCTCTTTAATTAGCATTTTTAAAGTGTTCGTTACTCAGACTTATTAAAAAATTATTAAACAATGTCAACGAATAATGCTATATAATTAAAAGAAAATAACTATATTGATAAAACATAAGGGTGGTTGATTGAAACAACGTGGCAGGGATCATTGGAAGGCTATTATTTTTTGTCTCATGAAACACTAAAAAAGATTAGATATATTGTCTAATTTGAATTTAACTGAAATCACTGAGGAAAGACAATAGAGGACAGAAATCAAAACAAGAAAAATATAAAAGGGAACAATTGAAAAGTGTGGATTGATCTAAACAGCATAAAAGTTTTGAAATGTATAAAAAAAAAATAGCTAAAAGTGTAAGAGGTGCAAATCAGACAAGCCTTGAGTCAAATAAAACATCGGTTATGTAGAAAAACAAAAAGAAATGTTAATTGCAAGATTGAAAGATCAAGAAAAAGAGAAAACCATGAGACCATGATTATTACAAGAAAACTTTTTTTCTTTTTAGTAAATGGAAATGACATTTTTTATTTTTTAGAATAAAAGAAAATTTTGACAGTAGTATACAGGATAAAATATCAAGTTTGCATTTACACTCACTCCCAAGAAGTTTCTTCCAAAAATTCCTGCCCTGGTAGAAATGGTCAACCAAGCTTAAAGCTACCTATATTTAGGGTTCAGAAAACATGCGAGAGGGCGTAAAAGGTTTCGTGGAACAATGAGGTTTGAATTTTGGCTTCAAATCGACGTCAATCTATTTATAACCTAACAACTACTCCATAGACCGGCGCGCGTGTATATATATATATATAAAATAAAATAAAAACCTTTTTTAAATTGAGGTAGCTATACCAATATTACTATTAGGTTGCTGTAGTGCAATTAAGAGTTACGACGATTTTTTAAAATTGTATGATTATCAACTAATTCTAATAATTTTTTTATTAAGTGTGAATTGGTTAAAATTAACTTGTATTAAGAAATGAAGGGATTAAGATCATAAATAATTTTTATTTAATCTTTCATTTAAAAAGTTGAAACTGGATATATATTAAGGGCTTGTTTGGTTCATAGATCACATCATTCAGAATCAAACTGTATTCTGTAAAACTATGTTAATTCGCACGATTCATGAAGTGCTTGTTTGAATTAATAATGTTTACATAGTCTAAAGATTTGAGCACAACTAACGGAAGGTTGCGTTGGAGAAAAATATCGCTCTCCCGCATCGACTAGAAAGTTACTTTTGATTAGCCACATTGCAAATGTGAGGTGAATTTTTATGAATTTTACCAATTCATCAAAATTTTAAAACATTATATAATACCCATTTTGGTAATTTATCTCAAAAGTGATTTTATTTTGTTTTATATAAATAAAATCATCTCTTTTTAATCTACTTATACCTAAAAGCAAATCAATTCTTTTTAACCAATCCTTTCAAAATCAAATTTACCAAACTCATTTCTACCTAACTTTAAAATAAACTAAAGGAGCACATAATGTTAATTTTTATAGAATCAATTTAGGTAAAATTGATTATGTTAAAAAATATTTTTTAACATTTTGGTTTAGTAAAATTAATTAAAAGTGTTGGACCTACTAAGTTTTCATTCCTGTGTGTAATGTAAATATATATTTAATTTTAACAGTTACATTTAGAATACACTTTTTAACAATTTTTTTAATAAATTTTTAAATTTTATTAAAAATGATTAAAAATTACAAAAGTATAAGAGATAATTATTAAATTATAAGAGAAAATAATTAAATAATAAATAAAACTCACATAATTTTTAATAAATTTTAACTAATAACTAATTATATTATTAATATCTCAATTTTAATATATTATTATACTATTTTAAATTTTTTGAAGTAGTTAGCTGTAGAGCAAAGTAGAGTAATCACTTTCTAATCTTTACTTGCATAAGGGTTTATAACAACTCTTTAATATTTACTTGTAGATCAGTTTTATAAATAACTATTCTTTAAAGTTATTTAAAAAAATTAATTATGCACAACCTCTATCATAAAATAAAATTTTAAAATGTGTTTTACCAACTTAGAAATGCATGTATAAGTGAGATGTCACTCAACTCACAATTAGGAATGCAACAACTATGGTAGCACAAAGATCAGAATCTCTCATTTTTTGGTGCGAACATGACTCTCATGTGCCTGTACTTTTGTATTTTCACTTAAGTAAAAAATTATTCACTTAAACAAAAATACAAAAACACAGAATATGAGGGTCATGTTACATGAAGGAATCCTGATTTGGTAGCACAATGAATGACGTTTGACATGATGAAGGCTTATAATGACTATAAATTTTGTTTCAAATATGGTTGAGAGGAACTAGTAGTGGTTCTAGGTATGATGGTGATGATGACGCTTAGTTCCTGAAAAGTGGTGTGATGATAAGAATAATAATTTTGTAATGATATGTTCGAATAATAATGATATTTGTAGTGTTGTTAGTGGTAATACAAAAAATAAAAATAAAAATTATTGCTGAACATTCGTGAGATATAATGCAATAATAGTCCCATAATGATAGCTAATGAGGACATGATGAATACTAAATTTGAGGTAGTTTATAATTAGATCATAGCAAAGTAACAATTAGAACTAATAAAATAGTTGACCAAAATTTGTTGAAATATAGGACTTGATTTTAAATTTGAATTAAATTTGAGTCTCTTTAACCTGATTTGATAAAGATCAATTTGAATTTATTACATTTGAGTCTTTTGGTTCCAATTTATTAAAGCTGTTATTTGTCATGAGACAACCCATTTTGACAACTTTAACATTTAGAAGTTGAACAATGATGATTTAGATTGTGACAATAATATTTTATGTATAAGAGTACTTGAATTACAATATTATAATTATTTTATACTTAAAAACTTATTATAAATTATTTTTTAATGTAACTAATTTTGTATAACGATATTTGTTTAATTTTTTAATTTTTTTTAATGTAGTATATATCTTTGCATTACATAGATACTAGACCAAGTACACAACAATACTTGTAGTTTAAGGAATAAAACCTTTACATACAAGCTTATTTATATGTACGTCATTATATTAAAAGCTTACACAAGATAAACAAAAGTTTAACACGAAAGCTTAGTTAATAAATAATTTTTTAAATAAATATGTTTTTTATTAGAATTATTTCATATCTGTGTGGATATAATTCAATACTTTACTCTAATAACACATGATCTATTTTTATTTGTATTTAATTTTTTAAATTATAATTTGACATATTATTTATAATTATTTTTTTGAAAAAAAATATTAAATTATAGTTCAATATAAAAATATTAACTTATATTAATATTGAAATTTCAATATAAGCAATCGCATTACAAATAAAAAAATTTAAGTATGCCTTTCACTTTTTTTTAAAAAAATCTTTTCATTTTCTTATTTTTCTTCTTCCCATTTATATATTAATAGTCTATTAAATAATATTTTTTTTTCATATTTTAATTACAATATTGTACTGAAAGAGAATTATTTTTAAAAGACTATAATATATTTTCTTTTTCAATTGTTAAAATTGCTAATAATATCTTTATTATTAATTTCCTTTTTGTTTTCTTGTTTTCAATTATTAATACATTCTTTCTAAAGTTTGATGGACGGATGAATAAGTAACAGTGATGCTTGAAATTCAAATATGTATGAAGATGATTGTTTTTATTATGATGTATATTTCATATTAACACACAATTTAATGAAGATAAATTTAATATTTTTTTTATAGTGAGTAACAATATAGTTTAAAATTATCTTTTATTAACTTTGTTAATTCATCCGTGTGTCACTGTATTGCACTAGTTTATCTGTAAATTGACTTCTACAACTCTTATAAACAGTGAGGCATGGAAAATGAGTTTACGGCTTGAACTTCTGTACATAAATGGTATAGGAATTAGTTTCTGCAAGTAAAAAATAAAAAAATCTTGCATTATAAATAATAAAATTCTTATTTTAGAGAAGAAATAATAAAATTGATCTAAAAACAAAAAATAATGGAGATTCAAATAAGATGACTTAATTGTCTGTGACTCACCGATGTTGAGAAAAAGACATCTTAAAATATTTAAGCATTAGGAAATTAAAAACATTGACAACCTCAGAAGTCTTAACTACCCATCAGCAGCCACTCCACTGTGCACGCATATATGGACACTATGGTCCATCACTTTGTCCTAAAATTGGAATGAAAGGAAAGTGAAAAAGTACTATTAAGTTACCTTCGTTTTACATTTTTATTTTCTTTCAATCTAGTTACATCTCGTTGAACCATGATTTTGCTTTTGCTTACATTTCATGATAGATATACCTATAATTTGTGTATGTACACATATAGCACACTTATTCAGAACCAGAGGTCTCCCACAAAAATAGGAATCCCAATGAATTGACATTTTGTGCTTGGGAGATATTATTAAATGTACAAATTTTATTTTAACCATTTTATGTCACTCGTTGATATGTTCAAGAAAATTTTTAAGAAATCACAATTTTACCTTGAGCTGTTATTGATGTAGGCGTGTCTAATGGGCAACTCTTAACAAATTCTCCATGTAGGAATTGACGAGAATGACCCATGTATACAATTGATCACGGTGCTCCTCCAAGCACCAGATGATTCCCAAAGTACGGAAATAACCTTGGCTTGATTTACAAGTGATCATGCATATTTAGTCTCTGAAATGGATGATGATGCGGCACTTTAATTTATTCGTTTGGTACATTTTTTGAGATTTTTTTAATGGCAAAAGCACTTGCAAAACATTATTAAAAGACAAAAGATGGTTAAGATAGTTTGATGACATTAAATGATTAAGATAGTTTGATGGCTCAATTCTTCTTGCTTCTTCCTTTCTCCTCAAGTGAATGTTGTTGATTGGATGATAGGACTAAAGTTTCTGGTTCTAACATTGGTTGCTGCTAGCTAACTGCACTTGGACTATGTTTATTCAAGTTTATCCTCTTCATTGGGTAATGTTTTCCCAAACTTCTTTTGCCTACCACTTTCTTAGTGCAGTTCTTTTTGCTTTTTGACGCATAACATAACTATATCTTCGTTTGATGGGATGCTTTGAGTCTTCCCTTGATTGTGGGTGGTCTTGGTCATACTGTGAATTAACAATTTCAGCCTCTGTATGTGAGTCTTGGTGTTGTAATGAAACTTGTAACTCCCTTTGTTCCTTGTCTCAAATTGTGTCTTGATGTATGTAGCAGAGGTAAAAAACTGGTTTTTAAGTCTGACTCTGGCTGATACCTTATCAGATAGCTACTCTGTATTCTGTTTACTTATCCAAAAAGATTATGGTGATAACCATATGATTGTTCAAATGAGTTCATCCCCCCCCCCCCCCCTCTCAAATTAAAATCAGGGAGATCTCAGCTTAGAGTTGGTTGAATTGGTTATTAAGTAATTTTATTTTGGGTTGAATTAATTAAGTTTTATACTCTTTCCCTTCAAGCTCTAATCAATCTGATAATTTTCTGTGATTAAAACTCTCAAGCTGCTAGTGTCAAATTTTAAGCTCAAAATGAGAGGAAATTGGGAGGAAGTAGGTGATAGTTGAGAGATATCATGCATTTCTAACTAATTGTTCGGTTAGCAAGTATAGCTTTAGGATTGCGAGGGGATAAGATGAAGGGAATATATCTGTGCATATGGCAAAATGGCATGGGAACTGAGTCCACGGTGATGTACACTACATTTTGAAGAATTTAAACTTCACTAATATTGGATTTTAATACCAATCACAAAACAGAAATATACTTCTTTTTGTTAGTGATGGACATATATTATACGAAATTTGAGAAGAGCAATCACATCAATGGTTCTATTGCTCAGTGACTTTGATCTTTTACTGTAAATTATTGCTCCGTATGTAACAGCTTTTACTGAAAGTGAAATATCTTAATTATTATAATATAATAATAATAATGTTTCTTCCTGTTTGCTGTAGCATGTAAACTTTACAGACAATGGGGTCAATTTAGAGAATTTGAGATTGTTTTTCTGAATTCTTAAAATGCACTTGTTTATTTAAAATGGAATTAAAACTTGTGATTCTGAACTCCTTATATCTATATATTTTACCATGTTGAAATTGAGTAGAAGTTTTCCTTTTATTTTTCTTTGTCCTTGCGCCAAGAATGACACCAGCTACTAACATGTCAGGCAGTGCATTTTGTGCCAAGCTGATGCATTACCTTTGAAGGAAGCACTTCAATTGGGACCATGACAACTGATTCATCTCTTCCTTCTGGTGTTCACAAAGAAAAACAGATTCTCTTGGAGGTGACATTCTGAAGCTATCATTCCTAGCTATTAAGGCTTATGAAAAGTATTTTCTTTTATATCCTTAATTTTAAAACTTGTGACATGCTCAGATTGGGAATTCTGAAAAGCAATTGTGGGCATTGATCCATTCTGAAGGCCTATTAAACTATGATGGCCAAGAGTTGTATCGCAACATCAGGTCAAGTTATGAGAGAACAATCTTGAATAACCACACTCATTCAGAACTTCAAGATGTTGAATATTCCTTGTGGAAGCTTCACTATAAGCATATTGATGAATTTCGCAAAAGAATAAAGAAATGTTCTGGCAATGCTGAGAACAACAAATCAGGAATCTCGCAAGATGGTGTTATGCAGATGAACAATGACAATCACATAAAGGCATTTATGTCGTTTCTGTCAGAAGCAACTGAGTTTTACCAAACTCTAATTGTAAAACTTAGAAAATATTATGGAGTCCCAGAAGAGGCTTTGTTTTATAAAAAGGGTTATGTTTCAACTTCTTTTGAACCTGAATTCATGCTGAAGTGTCAATATTTATGCCATCGCTGCTTAGTCTGCATGGGGGATCTAGCCAGGTATAAACAACAATATGAAAATCTTGATATTCAAAACCAGAATTGGTCAATTGCAGCCAGCCACTACTTGGAAGCAACAAGGATTTGGCCAGATAGTGGAAACCCACAAAACCAGGTAAAGCTTTGTCTGTCTTAATTTCAAATTAGCTCTTTATGTGTTGATTAAGAACGGTTTTTAATGTGTGCCAGCACATAATAAAAACCTATGTGTAGTAAGTTTTTATTGAAAATCACATAATTTCACTGAATTCAATGCATTGATAACATCAAATGCTACAACTTTTAATAAAAACTATTTATTAATTTCTTATCGTGTGCTCTTGGACACATGTTAAAAAAAACCAGACTGAGAAAAGCTGTTGTCCTCTACTTTGTTTCTTTCCAGTAACCTTGTTCATTTGCAGTTGGCTGTGTTGGCAACATATATTGGTGATGATTTTCTTGCTTTGTACCACTGTGTAAGAAGTTTAGCAGTTAAAGAACCTTTTCCTGATGCCTGGGATAATCTTATTTTACTCTTGGAGAAAGTAAGATGATATTTAGGTTCTTTAATCAAATGCAATTTGTTTTATCCATAAGTTTAATGTTTCTGAGCTTCATAAGCTGCCGTCTCTAATGATCTTGCAGAACAGGTCATCCCATCTGCCATATGTTTCCAGTGAATTCTGCTTGAATTTCTTCAAACCTTCTCAAAGAATCAGTAAAGGAACCGAAGCACGAACAAATGACAATAGCTCAAACTACAACATGTTTGAAAGTGAAAGTAATCATTTTACTGACACAAAGTTATGGTCTTTTGTGGTCAGAACAATAAGTTTCCTCTTCATAATATCAAGGTACATCTTGGATTCAGTTTATATTGTTCTAGTATTTTCTTGTTATTTTATCTTGCCTTTTTAAGTTTGAATTTCTCCCCTTTAGTCAACTTGAGTCATGCATATTCATGGTATCTCTGAGTAGCATTTCATTTTGTGCACATCTTTGGGTTAGCGGTTAGTAAGTAATTTATTATGTACTGTAGGATTTCCAGGTTCCTTGAAAATGGTTAGTAGTTAAACTTTATAGTGTGTGGATACTTTCTCCGACTATACCAGGGGTTGAATTATTAATGCATGTGGCTTTTCTATGAGAGAAAAAGTAAGAAAAGTTTCTTCTTTGATGGATCGAAACATTTATTAGATACAATTCTTGATCATGATCTGGTTTAGAGGCTTAAAAAACAATATTCTGAGCCTGTCTTCTTAAATAGTAATGAGCTGTAGACTACTAAGATGATTAAATGTCGATTTTATTTTTAAAAGAAATCGTGGTTCGCAAGTTATTACAATACTGCTGACATTATATATCATAGTTAAACATTTAATGTCATTCCTTTAGGAAAAAGGAAATATTTCTGTTAGCCACTATGATACATTTTTCACTCCACACTTGAAAATGTCTCATTTACTTTACTATACAGTTTTATCATAGGATGCAACTAACATATAGATCATTCTTCAATGTTTCAATTGTCATTTCTTTAGGACAACGCAATATTTTTGTTAACCACCGAGATCCATTTACGCTCCCATACTGTTTTAGGTGCTGTAGCCTCTATGTATATGCTAATGTTTCAATTGTCATTTCTTTAGCACAAGGCAATATTTTTGTTAACCACCGAGATGCATTTACGCTCCCATACTGTTTTAGGTGCTCCAGCCTCTATGTATATGCTAATGGCTGTGTTTGTTAGCTGCAGGAAGTTGAAGCGTTCATTGAACATTTGATTTTTTTGAAGATAAGAAATAGACATTTAATTGCAGGTTATGATAAATTGAAAACAAAGGGAACATTATATTAATTTAAGGTAGCAAAGTATTGTTCCTTTATGCCAGGAAAAACATTTGAAACCAAAAAAAATAATGTTCTCATGTATTGCAGATTAATGCCTAATTTCAATTTCTACGACATTTGAGATGATGTTATTTTTCCCTTATCTCTTGAAGTAGTTTGGAGGAATTCCCCATTGCATTGGCATCTACTATTGGAGTGTTGGATGAAATGATGGAGTTAGAAGATACAAAACTAAAGACCATGTTGGTGTCTTATGGACAAATGGATATAGCCAGAAAGGGTCCTTTCCGAGCCTTACAAGTAGTTTCTATACTCATATTTACCCTAAAGAATCTAATCGATAAACACAGAAGATATGAATTAGAAGACAAAAGTGATAGCCAGCAACTTGTTCTGATACAGCTGGCATTAGCTGCTGCATTCATTTTCATGGGACGTTTTGTCGAAAGATGCCTAAAGTCTAGTCCTTTGAATTATTGTCCCTTATTGCCTTCTGTACTTGTTTTTGCGGAGTGGTGTGCAAGCATGCTTGACGCAATTGAAGTATATGCAACTGATCAAAGGAGTGCAACAGCTATTTCTTACTATTTTGATGTGCTTGTTGAACTTCTAAATCAACTAAATGAGAATAGAAAGGAAACCAAAAAGCTTGTAGATAGCACCCCACTTTGGGAAGACTATGAGTTGAGGGGCTTTGTATCTATATCTCTTTCACATTTCTCATTAGATTTCTCTGGTAGATGGGAATACATTGACAACTTTGAAAATGGCACTGAATTGCGTACTCACCGCATAAATGAAGCAGCCTTGAAGATTGCTACCAGATCTAATAATTTTCAAAAGTGGATTACATGTGATGAATTAGGAAGAAAATTTTATGCGGCTATGTCAGAAGAAGATCATGACAAGAAAGAAACAAAAAATATGGAGTCCATTGACATAAGAGAGAGAGGGGATGACCCTAATCAGAAAACTCAAAAAGACACAGGAGAAGATAGAAAATGTGGTACAAGGGATAATCCAAGTAGTTCCAGTACTAAGGAAAAATCTTCACTTGTGGAAGAAGAAGAAGAAGTTATTCTCTTTAGGCCTCTAGCAAGGTATAATTCAGCACCATCAAATGCCTTTATTTCCTTTGATGAGCAGATATCATCACCAAAAGACGAGAATGATAAAATCTCACCTTCTGATGATTGTCTGCGCCGTACTACATCTCTTCTCACAGCACAAAATCCACTTCAAAGTGATCCATGGGAATTCCATGGTGCCATGGTGAATCCAAGGATCAACAAATCATTCAAATTGAATGAACCTTCAATGAAGGAATCAAATGCGCACACATTTTCTGAAGGTCTAATCTCAGCTGGGCCTCCTTCACTCAATGCTTGGGTCCTTGAGAGAGGAGGCTCGAGCACCAACAGGTTACAGCCCATTGAGGAAGTAGCTTCTTCATACTTGGCAGATCTTTCAATCAATAGAACTCAGAACTCAGTCATTAGTTCAGTGGATGAGTTTTCAAACTTGCTTTCTTCTTCTGCTACATATACTGCTCCAATTCCATCAGCTCCATTGTTGCCAGATAATGCTGCTTGGTACACTGAACTACAATCTAGTGTATCTTCTCCATTATTTCCAGATAACCCTTCACCAATTAGTGCTTACTCAGATTGGAGGTCTACTTATGAACCCCTTGGATATAATACCAACTTTCCACCTTATTCCAATGGATACTCACCATCTAATAGAATGAGTTCTTTAGAATGGTTGCATTGGTACAGAGAGAATCCCACACCTGAGAGGGTCAACATCAACAATCACATGTTGCAGCCTACTCATTTGACTGTTCCTAGAAATCATGAAAACTTCTTCTGTCATGACATTAACACCTACAACTACAGGTTTAATCAATATGATCAATGGGGTAATCCTTTGTCTCCTAACCATTACACATATATGAAACCTCCAGGAACCACACCGTTGCAACCAGGTTATCCCTATGCTTTTGGTGTTGATGAACACATGACCAGTCTCTTCAACAATTTTCAAAGACCAAGGCCTTATGGGTGTGGTTCTGTCACAGAGCAGAGAAACGAGGCACTGCCTTTACTAGAGTACCTTAAGGAAAAGGAATGGCGACTCCAGCAGGATCCTACCCTCGGAGGACCTACATTCATGGGAAAATAAAACTCCTCAAACTTTGTTCCGTCATTACAAAGTTGTTTGCTTCTTGCACTTTGATTCATACAACGTACCGAACTGTATAAATGTATATATTTATTATAATGTGTATATACTGTTTCAACCATTCCATGAAAGAGGGATTTCAAAGAAAGTGGATGAATTATCACCATTCGGTCTTCATCTAGTTTTTAAGCAAGTACATTTTAAACCATGTTGTCCTTTTTATAAACTGAAATTTATTAAAAATTATAAAAATATGAGTATAACTCTAAATAAAGTAGAACTCTTTAACAATTAATTGTAAAATTATAATTGTAAAAGTACAACTCTAATTATAATTCTAGAATTTTGTTTCTAGACAGTGTATTAATGTTAATTTCGAAATCATAATTCCAAAAGCTAATAAGCTATCTGCATACCTTTCAAAATTAAATTCTCGAAGGTATTTATATTTCGTTACAGATTCGGAAACTGATTTTATTAGTGTTTTTAAAATTGAACCGATTGTAAAATCGAAGGAAGAATTATTGGTTCACAATTAAATTAATGGGTACGAAGACTACGGATAAAAGAAAGCTTCTAGCTGTATTAAAATATTTTTGCTTTTAAGTTTTCAATATATTTTACAACTTTTAAAGTTTATTATTTGCCGTGAGTCTCTATTTATTTTTAAACAAAGGCTATATATACTAATAATTAAAAATAATTTTTATATATATTTATTAAAAAAATGGAAGTGCATGTAAAAATAAAGGGCTAAGAGGAATAACTCTAATAGCATCATGCCCAACCATTTGGGCTCTTGAACCCAAATTGATCGAAGCCCAGTTCAATTATATACCCATGACAATTTTTTTCCTTTTCTTTTTTTAATCCAAAAAGCTAAATGTCGTAGAATGACAGTCAAATGGGGATTTGGGTAACAGTGTGTGGCGGGTTCCCTGTCTTGCTCTTTCTCTTCTTCTCTAAGAAATTAAAGCGCTTATTATAACCCTATCAGTATTTGCAGATACAAAGTTTGACGCAGTAATGTAAAATTGCGTGTGTGTAACTGTTTGCTACTCTGGGAGCGTCATGATTAAACATTTCTGTACTTAATTTTTCCCAGTCTTTCTGCGTTTGTAGCTGTAAAAAACCCTAAGTAACTACAATAATTTGCGTTGCAATGGAACATCGTCACGTAGAATCAGATGGTGGAGATGTATCTTCAGCCAAAGCAGTTCTCCTTGGAGCTTTAGCCCCTGGTGTTAACGTCCGTGTTCTCAATCTCCTCTCTCTTCCATTTTTAAATTTTATACCCATTTTCATTATATTTTTGTGATTTTAATTTTATATTTTGCTTCCTGATTCAGGGTCCTACGTGGATTACTTTAAAGTCAACATTTTTATTGCTCGGTCTCTGTCTTGCTGTTATGCTGGCCTTAGCATTCTCTTCCAGTGATTCATGGTTGATGTTCCATGTTGCATTCCTTGTTCTAATTTGCCTTACCCTCTTCTTACTTCTCAGCTGGTACTTTCATTCTTCCCTTATGTAAATGTTATTGCTGTCCAATTCAAATTGGGATTTCGTTCACTGTTCATGCTTCCTGTACAGTTTGCCTCCCTGTGGAGTCTAAATTGAACATGTACGAACTAGGTCCTTGTGAATGTGATGTAACATTCTATTTGGCTTCTGATACTGTGCTAACATTGTAATGTCAAGTTTGTCCATGTTGGTTCCTGAAGGACAAACAACTTGAAATTGTCATAAGACTAAGCCTGTTCTATGAATATAGGATGTAAAGGTCCATTTGTTGAATGGTATAAGAGAACAGTATAGGATAATTTTTCCTATCTTATTTTAGTTCTGATGTTTGTTTAACCAATGGGATATGATAAGTCTACCCTGTAAACTTATTGTTTCTTACACTCCAGTGTAAATTTTATCCTGGATTATAAATAAATAGAATAAGATAACATAATGCATCTAATTTAATATTTTGATATGCATTAAATGTAAAATAAGAGTAGGATAGACTGTCATCTTGTCATGTGAAGCCTAAATACTTAATACAATACGGATACGGGAATATGGGAGATTCTTGGAAATTCAAGATACGATATTGCCTAACTATGTTAGCATGAATTTAATGAAACAATATTTTATACAAAAACAAAATATTTATAGAGAGATATTGATGACTAATTTATATCAATGTATTACATTTGCATATTAGAACTGTATGAAAGATGAGACCCACAAGGATTGAGTATTGCAAGTTGTCAACCATCGTTACCGACTCACGACTTCGTAGCCATCACCACCACCTGTGACCCGATAACAAGTGACTTTTGCAAGACCCAAAACCTTTGCCACATGCGAAAGAGTCTTCAATTTTGTGTGAGATGTTGCGTGCAAAAGCTTTGAGGAGACGAGTGATGATTTTGCTCGAAGACTCTGTCTCAAGTGTGAACAATCATGAAATTGAAACTCACTGATTCAATAGTAACTAAGTTAAACATATCGTATCCAATGGCCAGAAGCTGTACTCAAATGTATTGAGTTGTATCCCAGCTGTATTGTGGCGGGAATTTATTTTTCATAATAAAATAAAAAATCAGATACTTTCTAGATACATACCAGTATCGGATACATGTCCAATACCCTCACTTCAGCCAAATTGGAGTATTCGGGATTCATTGATCTTATCATATGTTTGGTGCAGGATAACAAACTATTTAACATTATGCTATCATATTTTGTGTATTTCTAACTTAGGAGTTAGGGCTCCCAATAATATAAAATTTTCCTCAGAAAGATGGATAGGATAAGTTCATAAGATAGACTTATTACATCTTGTTAATTAAAAAGGCTCTATAAATAAGATAGGATAGAAAATAAAAAGAGTCTTATTTTGCTCTCTTATCCTGGACTTCAAACAGGTCCTAAGTTTCATGCCTTAAGTATGATTTAAGGTTTTTGTATGTATTTGTGTGTGTGGTTTTATAAAATTGTGTGTCTTGCTGTTTGCATGTCAATGCAAATTGCTTTGTGATGGATTGATGATGTCATGACTCATGGATTTCGTATGAATTAAATTTAGTTTTTCATGGTGCATTAGCATGGAAAGGAACACAAAACTGCATATATGATTGGTCATCGTATTGTGATTCGAGCAGCCTTTTTGTGTTCTCTTCTGGTTGCAAAGGGAAGAATAAAAAAGGAAATGTGAGCTGTATCATTATAGCATATGTGTAAGTAAATTAGTGAAAAGCATTAGTTTTCTTTTGACATATAATTATGAGTCAGATGCTGGTTAGGAGTTTCTCTTGTGGTTTTCCTATGCTGTACTGAATACATTTTTTCTGCAGGTTTCTTGCACAAACTGGGTTAGTCTCTATTGAACATCAAATGCGTGAGATGGGCTTAGAGCATACGGATCCTCTAGAAAACCTGAAAAGCAAATAACTATTTCTTATATTATGCATGAAATTGGGAGAAACTTCAGTTGAAGTCCTTCATGATGACTTGGACAGCAACCAAATGTTCCAGATTTAATAGAAGAGAAATCTACTTCCTGAAGGTTTATCCTCTGTTAGTCACTCTTGGTTTCCTTCACTTTATGTTTCTCTTTAACAGGTCCAATGAAACAGAGGCATGATCTGGGAAACTCTGACAAGAACTTAATTCCATTCATGATTTGCTGTCATGATCTACTTAGGCTTAATTTTGATGCTTTTTTTTTTGTTTCTCCATTTTTGTATTCCCCAAGGGGCATAAATTTTCTTCTGTTATAATGATTTTATTCTTTCTTGCTAAATTAGACGTGTGACAAAGTTTAGATCTTTTTCCTCTCACTCACAGGTATTTGCGCGTTTGATCAAATATAAACATACTAAATATTAATGCACAGTATCTGAGATTCTGAATGTAAGAATATGATCATAGTAAATTAATAATTATGTGTGATAATTATGATATTAATAATTGTGAGAAAAAAAAGGCTAAGTTTATAGGCTAATCCATTCGACCCCAAAGAATGAAAATTGAATCCACTTAACAGGAGTTTACAAACAAAAAAAATCACGATGAGGGGGTCAATTTTTCGCCATATAATTTTTTTAATCAATATTTGCTAAATAAATTTGGAACCAAATATGAATATTTACTTGTAAAATTTTTGTGAGGTAAGTATATATTTTATTATTCATCTCATCCATCGTTGTATATTATTTAATATATTAAATCTAAAATGAAAATTTAATATAGACTTATAACCTTTATATTTTACAATAAGTCACAACTGAAAATTAACCTTACGAGGAAGATATTACAACATAGTTGAAAAAACGGTGCCCTGTTTATTAAATAACTAATTTTCTTTTTAATTTGCAATAAACTTGTACATATTTTTTCATATACATAATAAAGCAATTGACCAAAAGCTTAAAAACTCTAATACTAATTACTTACATGAAATAGTTAAACTATTTTTATTTATTAAAAATAGCATGATTAAAATTTAAATTTCATCTTTAAAAGATATATTCTTAATGAAGTGGAATATGGAAAAAAAATAAAATTTTTTCAGTCACTTTATTTTATCACGTTTTATATTGTCATACTAAAAAAAATAAATAAATTAGCATTTCATATTACATTCGATATGTTACATTATTATTTTTTGTAAAACTTAACTAAAAAGTTTTAGTAGAAGACTAAAATGAATAGTCATACATTTAAAAATTTTAGAAATTGATTTTAATATTTTTTTCTTATAAAGATCAAATTGAAGAACTCTCTGTGTTTTTAAAAAAATAAATAATTTGAAGTTTTAGTCAAAATAGTACAAAAAATTTTCAAAGTGAGTTCTTAAAATTTAAAGTACAATTAACTTCCAGATGTTATGAAAAAAAAAAAATTAAACAGGAGTGTTTATCTAAGTAAAAAGAAAAAAAGGTGTAAAATGTGCAAAAGTAATTTAATGCCAGAAGAGTTATGGACGTGAGGTGGTGGGTTTCTACTGCTCCCTAAACTGAGCTAAGTGTTTAAAAAACGAAGGAAGAGAGTCAAACGTAGAAAGAGATAGGAAGTTGCGACTTGGCATTGCGGTTTAAGGCATCACTCTCCCGCGCCATTCCCATTCAACTGTGTTGTGATTTGCAGGTGAAAGAGCGAAGCAAGATCTGTTACGAAAAATGGCAAGTCGGTTCTTCGGTTCGAAGACGATGATCGTCACCAACACGCCATCGCAGGACCTCGCCCTCACCAACCTCGCCTTTTGTTCCCCCTCCGATCTTCCCCAATTCGCCGTTCCCTCTCACCACAACCTCTACCTTGCTTCCATCAACGATTCCTTCGTCTTCTCTCTCTCATATCCTCCATCACTATTCAACGCTTTCTTTTTCAATCAAATCTCACTATTATAATTATTTCCTTCAAGTCAGCTAAAATTTTCCTTAACTATATCATGTTCAACCATTGAGTACCTTACAATTACGTGTTCATTTTTTGTCATTAATAATCGTGCCAATGTCGAGTAGTGGGAATTAATGCGTGGATTAATTGATTTGTATTTTGTGGCCTTAACTTGAAAAATACTGCTCATGAAAGCGTACGTAGTGGCCAAATTGCGTTAAATTCCATTCAACGTCGCTGTGCCAAAGTTTCTGCTGCTGAATCCGTACCTGTGAGCCGGTTAGTTTCTTATACTATTGAATGATTGACTACCGCTTTTTCTAAGTTTCTTACGAGTTCATTTTTTCTTTTGTGTAAGATTCGTGCCACCCGACAACTTCAACCTGGCATTGCTAACCCTTGAATTGGACTTCGTTAAAAAGGGAAATAAGAGTGAACAGGTGTGTTGATATGGAAAAGTGCTCGCTGTGTTGTCAATTTGTTGCTCATTAGAGTGCTATAGCATTAAAATTGTTGGTGTTGCTTTATCATGTAGATTGATGCTGTTCTACTGGCTAAGCAACTTCGGAAGAGATTTATAAACCAGGTAGGGTCTTCACAAGGTTATCTGTGGTTTATTAGTTATCATTGATGTATGGTTGCTAGATGTTTTTAATACTAATTGCCGAGGTTTCTTTCAAAAGGTTCTGGCCTAGATTGATCATTGTTGTAAAACAGACAGGAAAATGTCACCTGGTTGTTGCATAGCTTCTTTTGTTATTATTTTCATAAATATGTGTTTATCATTTTCTAGAAGCTGTTACTATATATAATACATAGGAGAATAATTCAACTGCTCAATATGTTATAGTTCCTCTAAAATTGTTATGTCAAGTCAATGACTCAACTATACTATTTTTATTTGATTTTCACAATTGTTTTGAAATTTAACTTGTTCATGATGCCTGATAGATAGCCTTTCCTTTGTACATGATGCATGGATATTCTTAGCTATAAGCTTGTTTATTGTCTTTTTTCCTATGATCCATTCGGAGAATAATTTTCTATTGAGGGGAGAGGGGGAAAGAGAGAGAGAGAGAGAGAGAGAGAGGTTGGGAGGGAGGGGGTTCTCTCATTGTATTTTTACTTGAATCATGATATATTTTTGCATATAGTTGGATGAAAGATAAACACATTCTCTAATCTCACACTATTTCCATGATTTCTCAAATTATTTTCTAATTCTTAGGAAGCTTGGGAACATTCTGTATCCTGGCTCCCTCTATTTTTTCTTTCATGAACATTCCTTTCCTTTTGTTAGATGTACTATATTCCTGGGTCAACAGTTTTTAATTGATCTTATTTTATGCAGGTTATGACTGCAGGGCAAAAAGTTTTATTTGAGTATCATGGAAATAATTATAGCTTTACAGTCACTCAAGCTGCTGTTGAAGGCCAACAAAAGTCTAATTCTCTTGAAAGAGGGATGATTTCAGAGGACACATACATTGTTTTTGAAACATCACGTGATAGTGGAATTAAGGTGAGTTTCCCATTTGGCTTTTGACATTTATCTTCGTTGTTTTACTTGGATCTTTCTTGATACACTATGAATGCTTACGTAGCTTAACTATCCTTTGATACTTAAGGAATTCATGGGTCAATAGAAAAGGTAACACAACTTTAACTTCAAAAGTGAATCATAATGATGGAATGATAATCTCATAATTTGAATACACTGCATATAAATTACTTAAACCAGGCTGATTAAATACATTAAATTCTAACCTGGAGTAAATATGACAATCTTGGCTTGCCAAGATAAAAATGCAGAATAATCACCATAGTAGTGGTGCCAGACCAAGGCACTATCTGTTGCCTCAGTGTACTATCTATCTTGTATCAGGTTCAGCAATTCTTTACTATGAAAAATTTGTGCTTGGCAGTACAAATTTTTTCTTTTGGCGATATCTTGTGTATGTCATTTGAAATTCAGTTATTTGATATTGGTCAATAGTCATTATTTTATATAACCCATGTGAGATAATAGATTAATAGCCAATACTTCTCATAACAAAATAATAACATTTTATGAAAACTTCTTAACTGTACTCTACTGATTGTAATTATCTTTGTGTATATGTATTGGTTTATGTTGTGCTTTGAAGATTGTCAATCAACGTGAGGCTGCCACTAGCAACATTTTCAAGCAGAAAGAATTTAACCTTCAGTCTCTGGGTATTGGTGGTCTGAGTGAGGAGTTTGCAGATATATTTCGAAGAGCTTTTGCCTCTCGAGTTTTCCCTCCCCATGTGACATCCAAGTAATAGATCAGATACTGTGATTCATTTAATATGCTGTTTTTATCATATATCATGTTCTTAATTCTAAGCTTTTGAGGTTTCAGATTAGGGATCAAGCATGTGAAGGGCATGCTGCTTTATGGGCCTCCTGGAACTGGAAAGACACTTATGGCACGCCAAATTGGGAAAATTTTGAATGGGAAGGAACCAAAGGTTTGGAATTTATTCCTTATACTTGTGTTACAAATTTGAATTAGTACATCTATTTGAAATTGTTATATATGCAGTCAGCAGCAGTTTATTCAGATAAGATATTTCTAATTTCTTTCGTTTAACTAATATAATTTAGTCTCCTCTTTATTTTTAATAGTGGGCTAGTAATTGCCTTGGAATGTACTTTGTTTTCAGCATTTGGTACATTATACATTTTCTACTATCTTTGTTTTACTTAGAATTTGACAAAACAAGATTGTTTTCATGTGTTGTCATATAAATCAGGTTCATATGCTGTTATTGATAATGAATCTAGGCTTAATTTGACAATATTGAGTTTTATGTCATTTCTTGTGGTCCACTCTTCTCTATTTTTGTGAGCTTGCACAAATTTTATCTGAGTGGATGCTACTATCTCCTAACATTATCAATTCTCACCCTGTATATATGCCTTCTATACTTACTAGATTTTTGTGAGTCTGTGTCATTGTTTAACTTTTTGGCTTCTTTCAGATTCACCACCTAATTGGCATGTTTAAATAGTTTCAAAATTGGAATATAGAAAATGTGTAATTTGCTTTCTGTAGGCTGGTATTTGGTAATTATCTTTTGTGGCAGTTGAGGAATCTTAATATTTCTTTTCTATGACATGTATTAGATTGTCAATGGACCTGAAGTTTTGAGCAAATTTGTTGGTGAAACTGAAAAGAATGTGAGAGACCTTTTTGCTGATGCTGAGCAGGATCAGAGGACCCTAGGTGACATATATATACACTTGCATGTTACTGAAGTTAAAATTTCATATAATTCACTTTTATTGTTCACTGTTTTCCAGGGGATGAAAGTGATTTGCATGTAATAATCTTTGATGAAATTGATGCTATTTGCAAGGTACAAGGTTTCTCCATTTAGTTCAACATCAATCATCTATTGGGTTGCTATTGTCAATTTTTTTATGACAGTTAATATGCAACAATTGAGTTTGCCTTAACTGGTGGAGTCTTTTTATTT